ATCCAATTATCTTATCCTTTGCTGGCAAAAGAACTACAATTGAAGTACCCAATTAACAATTTTTAAGCTTGTGAAACCAGTCTCACATAATTCACATCCAGAGAATGAAAGAAGCTATTTTAGCAAACAAAGTGAGACTCAAGCTTTTAAAGAAGTTATTTCTGGTTGCTGCCTTTCTTCAGCTCCTCCAACTTCAGTTTAATTATGATTATAGAAGATTATATTCCCTCAAAATCCCAGAGAAAAATTATCATCAGAGATAATTTCAATGTGTTGTGATAAACCTACATCTACTTAAACTTCTAGAGACAGGGACCATTCAAATTTGCTGATCTGCTGACGGAAACCAGGATTCTTTCAAGTCAGGACCAGTCAGCTGCAAATATATTGTGTGTGTGGCATATATGCAAACAGTCATTCGGATACCATTTAAGAAAGCTCAAATACAAGAACAGTGCCAGGATAACAAAGAGAGACAGAGTTGTAGTCTGGTGGTGCAGAGTGAGTTGCTTTCGTATCTTGATGTTGCTAAAATAACTGAGTGTCGAGCACTTTCATGTCTTGGCAGCAGCAGATCTCATATTGTACTGTGTTTTTTTTTTCCCTCTCATAAGATATTCATGATATTCAAGCAATACTTAGGGTCATAGATGGTTCTAACGGGCAACTGTGCCCATAACAAAGCACTGCTGCCTGCAACATGCCACAGACTGATACGAAAAGAGCTCAGGGTATACTTGTGCCAGACCTCAAGTCTCTCTTCACGGGGTAAGTATCAGGCATTGTTATAGCACCTTCCTCTACTTCATGGCTAAGAGACAATAAACCAGCCCTTGCTGGAACTGCTGCTGCTGCTGCACCAAGCATTACAAAAACCAAACACAATCAATGTGTACAGTTCCAGAAAGAAGCTACAGAAAATAAGCAATTTCTTTTCCTGCTCCTTTGTTTCACCTTGCCTTAGCACAAGGCATTCTGACAGAGAGGGGTTTGTGAACTAAGATTAGAAAACAATATGCAAGCCAGACAGATTCTGAAGCTGCGAACACACAAAAAAATATCCTGAAGTACTAAATGGATTGAGTCATTTGCCAATATATCTTTTAGCTCTCAACCCTGTTAGTAGGAGGTTGAGGAGGAAACCAGGTAATAGTACATCAAATCTAATGTCTAGATTTCAGAAGCTATTGATATTCCTTGGGCAACCGCGTACCGCGTAGCTTATTTACAGATTAATATGTTAGTCACTTTAATTCATATTTTATTCATATTAATATGTTATTCAGAGCTACAACTGTGGAACACAACACACACTGGTACCCCAAAATGACAATGCTGTAAATTGGATCTTTGAGATACAATTAGTGAACTTCCCTACTTAAGCCCCTATAAAAGTTGCTGAGATATGCAGATGCTTCAGCTTAAGACCAGTACCAGTGGCAAGAATGGTAAAATAAGAAAAAAAAACAAAAAACAAAGCAAAACAAAACACAAACTTCCCCCCCACAAGTAAAACGGTATTAAACAGGTATTTCCAACTACCGAGTGCCTAAAGCAGGCAATAGTGAACAGAGATTAGGGTGAGACAAAAAGTTGTCACTACTTTTGTTATTTAGACTCTATGCATTTTAACAGTGCAGTTGACTTCTGTAGTTGTTCCACCAAAAAAATCCAGCAGATGAGTCTACAGACAGTGATTTTTTAGGGTGTTGTTTGTTTTTTGGGTTTTTTTTTTTTTTTTTCCTTTTTACAGTAAGGAAGTCCTCTAAACATTTGCATCAACTTCCACACCAACAGCTATCTGTAAAAGTCAAACGTGTCTGGACCGATTCTGAGGCATCTGATAGAATTCCATTGATTTCAAGCAAGCTTGCTGATTTAGTCCACTGAAGAACATAGCATCATCTGATTAGGTTAAGCAAATTGATTTTTGAATCCTGACAATTTGCGAAATCTTATGAACAGCTTAGAGACTTACCATCCAAGAAAGGATAGAAATTACTTGGTCAAGAGTTTTATTCATATATTATTTTTTTAAATCAATTTTCTCACCAAGAATTCACTAACAGAAAAGCAACAGAATTTGTTCACTAAATTATTCATTACGAATTACTGAGCCAGGTTCTTTGGTACTATAAAAAGCAGCAGCTCCACTGAGAGCAGAAAGAATTACAGCTGCTAAGAAACAGAAGAGAACACAGGTACAGGTGCTGTAGGAATTCACTCTGGTTTTACAAAGCTATTTGTGAGACCATTTAGCAGAAGATGGGAAGTAGAAGGGGAACAGACTGGTGATGGAAGCTGTCTGTCGACTCAGAAGGGCACAGGCAGTGACAGGGCACCTCCATCACACTCGAAAGCCCACGGAAGCTGTGCCTGCATAAAGCCCTGCCCCAACCTCTGCCCATGCAGAGCCCGAATTCAATGGTAACTATGAATGCCACCTTTTTCTCCCTTCTGTCCAATCGTAGATCTCTTTACTAACACTAAAAAAGGGACTGGATTGTAGGATTTCAGGTGGATTCCTGAGGAAATCAGTTGATACAGTCATATCATATGAGTTTGTACAGCCTAATAACTTTCAGGTTCTATTGCAAAACCCGGGTAAAATGCCACCAGGATAGAGGTCACAGTTCTAGTTCCTAGAAGTTTTCTGCAAATAGATGGTTGAGTCATGAGACTAAGACGACTTTTCATATTCTCTCCATGGGAAAAGCTGCACCATAAGAATTTCTCTCCTTTTAGATACCTTGAAATCCACACAGGAGAGAAGTTAAGAACTTCCACTTACAGGAAAAGCTTTGATCAATGCTTGCACGTTATTAGAACCCAGAAAACCCTATTACTAGGCACAAATCCACAGAAAATCAATCAAACTCCATTTGTTTATGGCTATAGGAACAACTAGCAATATCTGTCAGGCTACACCAAATAATTCATCGTAGGTAAGTCAGCAAAGAGCTGACAAATAGAGGCTGCATTCATCTATAAACAAACAGACACATGACTCGGTGCACTAAAACTGGAAGGTGCTGCATCCCTCGCATTGAATATTGCATAAGAATATTTTTAAG